TCAGAATTAGATAATGTAACAATGACTCGTCGACAATCTGGTGGATTTATATAAGAAACAGGCAAATGCATTTTAACACCTATAAATCAAAACAATTAATTGTTATATAAATATATTTTTTTTTACCAAAACGTTCAATTAATCGATTATGTGTCATAAATGGAATATGTTGATGTTGTTTAATAATATTTCTATCAATATACTTTTTAAAATGATCATTCATATAAACATCATAAGCAACATTTCGATAAATAGCTGGTTCAAATGCTTTAGCTGTACGATATGGTACAGGAATTAATTCATGATTTGTTTTCTTTTCTGATCGATCTGAATGTCTAAATATTGAAAATAATAAAAAACAAAATAATTTGTAATCCATTCAAATTTATAGTATTTTTACTTTTGCATGCTAGCTCCTTTAACACCATAATAAAGTGTATCAGATTTTCTTAACATTGCTTTCGCTTGCTCGACTACTTTTGGTTGATTAAATACTTCACTGTATAGAAATTTATAAACATAAGCTAAAAAAAAAAATCATAATATTTCATATAAAGTATATCAAAATTTCACTTACAATGGAGGTGTGTGTATTGTTGAGCGAAAAAGTGGCACATGTTCGGGTCAAATGAAAGCTCTCAACGCCAAAATAACAAGGTTAAAATATTAGGTGCTGTTGGCTTGCCTAGAGGGAGATATTTAACTTTTAAGTGTAGGTGTAAAAATGAATCAGGAAACGTTTTCTCCACTATTATAAGGACAAAACATAGTGTTGTTCGGGGCGATTAGGGGGTTTGTAGGGACCCTCTTTCATATGGCCCGAACAACACTATGTTCTGTCCTTACAATAGTAGAGTGAATTTTTCGTGTAGGTCATGAAAACGGCATTTTCTATGAATCACTAGAAAAATTCATTCCGCTACTATAACTACAAAACATAGTGTTGTTCAGGCCGATTATAGGGTTTGTAGGGTCCCTCTTTCATATGGCCCGAACAACACTATGTTTTGTCCTTATAATAGTGGAAAAAACCTTTCCTGATTCATTTTTACACCTACACTTAAAAGTTAAATATCTCCCTCTAGGCAAGCCAACAGCAGCTAATATTTTAACCTTGTTAGTTTGTCATTGAGAGCTTTCGTTTGACCCGACCATGTGCCACTTTTTCGCTCAACAATACACACACCTCCATTGTTAGAACAACATCGAACGGCTTGATTATAGACTCGATCCCAAAAATCCACTGGGACTTCAAACCAAACTCTATGTCACTTCATAAATTCTCATCTCTGTGTACGTTAAAAAACGTGTTTCATTCCGCAGATATTGAAGTCCCAAAAAAAACCGAATTCTAGTATCTTCCGAGAAATACGAGTGATTTTTTTGGAACTTTATTATCTCAGGACGAATAATATTTGTTTAAGTTATTGACAAACAGATCTCTCTATGGATGAAAACTCAAGTCGAAATGCTATTATGCTTTAATGGTAAAGAGTGTACAAAGTATTGATAGAAATTAGGTTTTTTTTTTGTAAGGTATTAGTGAAGCAAATTTCAACCTGGTTCAAAGTTGTGATGGCCTTTTCCAACCGAATCGAAATTCACATTAGTTAGTTTGTTATATAATAACTATTATGGTAATTTTTTATCGTTAAATTTCTTTTTTTTTTTCAGACATCGGATCAAAAATTTTGTTTTCAATGATTAAAGAGAGAGATAGATTTTGTACAATTATCATGTTAAATGAAGGAGAAATTATCATTAATTCGACTAAATCACTTATCTCAATTCGTTTAATCTTCCGGTTGCCTTTTCAGAATACAAGGTAATAGTTAACGTCAAAATCAAATATTCAAACAAACATATTTTGAAAATAAGCGTCGAAAAACCAGATTTTTTTTTTACTAGAAAAAAAATAGGATTTTTAATTTTACAAAATGATATTTTAACTATTGAAATTTACTAAATTTCCGAAAAGAAACTTTTTAAAAGAAAAAAAAACGCATAAATATATTAATTTTTCATTTTTTTTTGCAACGAGATTGTATATCAAAAATAAAAATTTCTTACCTTGAACAATTCCTAAAAGTCGACGACGTTCTTCTGTAATAACTCGATCAAATTGATAACCAATTAATGAAAGCATAATTGTTTTTGAACCATATTGACATTCAACAGGATCATGATCTTTACCAGAATAAACAATAATACGAACACTAAATAAATAATATAAAAAAAAAATCAAATAATTTTTTTTTTTTCATACCGATAACATCGTGCAAGTGCTTCTACTTCAAGCATACCACCTGGTGTCTAAAAAAACAAACCAAAAAAATTTTTTTGTTTTATATTTAATTCAATTTTATCTTACAGTTGGATCTTTTAAATGAGTTAAATATTTTGATAATGGCATTGTAATTAACTAAAAGCAAAAAAATTAATAAAAAATTTAATTATAATAAATTTCTTACTGGACTATATTCATTAGTATTCAATTCCATATATTCAATACATTTTAAACGAACATCATAATGATGAACTTGTGTTGAGAATAACTATATAAAGATAAATAAAAAACAAATTGTTATTGTTTTTGATTTTCTTACATCTTCTGATACAGCACGAAATAAACTTGATCCATCTAAAAAAGAAAGAAAATAATACAAAATAAATAATTTTTTTTCAAACCTTGTGGAATACGTTTTCTCCAAAGTTCATGATGTTCAAGATATCTATCCATAGATGTATCAAGACTACCAATAGTATGTTCTTCTTGTTCATCATCCATATATCGATGTTCTTGTCGTTCCATTATTATTAAATTGAATCACTTATTTATTTATTTTTTTGTTTTTTTTTTTTTTTGCTTTTTGAAAGAAAATATCACCACTACAACATCAATAAGAAAAACAAACGATAGATAGAAAAGAAATAAATAAATAGAATATTTTCTTTTCGTCCGAAATAACACTTACATACACTATTTATATAGATATTTTTCTTTCGATTTTTCGACAATGATTTATAGTTACAATACCCTGGATGAATATATTTATGCCATGTGACAATATATGATCTTATTATTTTATATAGAGAAATAAATAGATTTTTTTTTTTTTTGTTCGTTCGTTAATTCTTTATGTTAAAACTTGACTAGTAGAATTATTCAATAAAGAACGTACAGAAAGGTTAATCAAGTGTTTGGAAAGAAAGAAATATTCTGAACAATCAATATGTTCTCTTAAGATAATTTTTTTTCAATGAAATATATTATTTATGAAGTCTATATAAGTAAAAAAAAAAAAATGTAAATAATTCAATAGAATTTTAAACAACTTATATAAAAAAAAGAAATAAATTCAATTGAAATTTATCTCTTTAACATAGAATTTATTCATTTAAAAATATCATAGAAAAATTTTCTTGAAAATTAATTTTATTCAATGAAATATGATTATTATCTATCGTTAACATTATTGATATATCTGATATCTTAATACAGTATCATTTCTATATTAGTGAATTAAATATTGATCATTGCCATAGCAAAAGATTGATTTTCTCAACCAAGCGTTGGAGAAATCATCTAACTGTTCAATCGCTTTCAAGCTGAGACTATGTTCATTTTATAGATCCAAATCTGTTGTGAATAATCTAAAAAGAGTTTTTGCTTTTAGCTTATTGTAATGGAGCTATTGCACTGTTACATTATTTTTTTTAAACAAATGCCGCAATCCTCCTCAAGAATGAAAAAAAAAGACTGGTTTTTGAGTTTCTGTTTGAAAATTTGCGTATAGACATGCTTTAGAGATAATTTATTTCAGATCTTATCGTTGTTCTTATCCTAAGATACCACTATGGTAATAGTGTGTCTTTTACATCGTTGATATAAACCTGCAAGTTTGATGTATCTATTTCAAAATTGAAGCAAATCAAAAATCACACCAAGCCAATCTCATAAAGATCTGTCTCTATGCAAATTTTCAAGTCGAAATTCAAAAAAAAAAGTTTTTTTGATGTTCCTGAGGCGAACCACGGCATTTACTTTAAAAATATTATAAAATAGCAGTAGTATCTTCACGACAATAAGCTACAAGCAAGAAATCTTTTAACGATAATCATAATTTTATTTGGGTCTACAGAATGCACAAAGTCTCAAGTAAATAGCGATTGAATAGTTAGAGGACTTCCTTTGTAAATCCCACTCTGAACAGTCATATGTATATCTTGTTTTTTCTAAACAATTGTTTGCATTGAGTTTTTTTAAGCCAAACTACTGATATAGACTGAAAGATGTTTAAATATAACTATTATTAGTTGTACAATCGTCTATTTAACATAAAATGCAGAATATACGTATATACACAGGAATAGAAATATGTTTTTCACATTTGATGAAATATTTCGATGAGTGACAACAGCAATCTTCTACAAAGTTCTATAGCTCTAATCGATATGGTGAAAATGACAAGACCGATAAGATAGGTTTACAAAAAACAAAACAAGTTCAGACACATACAATCTAACCAAACAAAAATCGATTGTCTACTATATAAAAAAAAAGATATTTTCGCTGTCAAAGACATTGTAATCGGATATAGGCAATATCAATGATATTGATCTCACTCTCGATTAAAAAATGTTCGACCCTGGTAGTAGTCATAAAAAGTTTTTTGATCTGGGTTGTGGGACTAACTTGCCCATAGATAAAATCAGAGAAGTGGTTTCTTTTTTTTTTTTACAATCAAAATATAGTAAAATAAAGAGGTTTCGACCACTCTTGTCAATATTCTTTTCTAAATCATATTTTTTTTCTGGTTTATTTATTTTTCAAACATAAAATAAAACATTTTCCAATAAGATAAACATATTTTATTTGAATAAAGATTAATAATAAAAATGTCTCATTTCCAATATTGAAATAACCAATTGGAATGTACATGTCATCGACGATGATTAATTACTAAATTAAAGAAAAGAAACAAAAAACAAAAAAATTCTTATAATTTTTCTGCATAATGTTTCGCATATTTTTTCATGCGACGTTTAGATGTCGGATCAAAATATTTCAAATAATTTTCAATATTCAATTGTTTAGAATTTCTTTTCTGATCATTTTTTATTAATTGTTTATAATGTTGATATTTTTTTCTAAAACGTCTTATAATCATTTTAACACGTTTCCATTCGATTTGTTTTGAAAAAATTTTTGGTATATTTATTGAATCAGATGGATTTATATCAAGAATAAATCCTGTTCTATAACGTTTACTTCCATCAGGATTTATTGTTTGAAATACATTTGAATTAACTATTGATGATGGTATGTTTTCATTTGTAAATTGTTTTTCAATTCGATTAAGTTCATCATATAAAATTTTATTTGAATTTTCATCATGAACATTATCAAGATAGAGTAATATTGTAATTAAACAAGTAAAACGTGTAGATACATCTAGTTTATGATTATTTGGAAAAACATTAAAAAACATATCCGATAAATTTTTTGTTATTGGTGTTGTTGTTTCAACACGTGTATCACTTATATTATTATCAAGACAATGAATATTAGGTAGTGTTGCTCGTCTTATAAGCCATGGTCGTATATATAATTCATGTGCAGAAAAAAGTTGACTATGAGAAAGATATTGTGGTCGATCAATTTGTTCATCATTTAATGATGCTGATGATGATGAACTTAAATCAAATTTAGTATCAACTGTTAAATTACGACGTGGTTTTGTTTTCCATCGATTAGAATCATTACCATCAACATATCGACCAACGATTAATGTATGTTGAGATTCATTTTCTGTATTTATAGGCATCGTTGACGATAAAGGATCGTGTAATAATGTACTCGATGCCGCAGATTCGGCTAAAGGATAATAAAAAATCAAATTAGACGTTTTTTTTATTTTTTATTTAACGAAAAAACAAAGAAATTATTTAAGATGAAATTCATGCAAAGAATTCATATGAAATACCCCGTAAATCTGGAGTTTCTTCTTGATTAACTATGCCATTAGATGGTACAAAAGTATTTGCTTGAAATAATAAACTCTTACCATGTCCACCACCATTATTATAAAATGAAAAACGCCGTTGTTGTTGTTGTGTTGGTAGTGGTGGTGGTGATTGGTTACAATAAACAGTTGTTGTTGTTGCTGTTAGAACAGCATTTTCAACTATATTTGATGCCATTTCCTTTGCATATTGTTCAACTGCATTAGGAATAATAGATGAATGAATTTCTTCAATACCCATATTAATTGGTTTCGAGTCTAATGGACTTATTAATTTTTGATTACTAGTTGTAAGTTTTGTAAAAGATTTAGGTTGAAAAATCATATTTGCTTTATTAGGTATTGAAGTTGTTTCGAACATTGAAACAAGACTTCGAACTGAATGTGGTGGAGGAGATTTTTTTTCTGGTTGTTCTTCGTGAACTATAGATTCTTTTGATGTTGATGAAGATAAAACTTGTTTTAATTCATTCATAAGTAAATTTCTTTGATTATTAATAGTATTATCTTGTTTAACTTTTGAAGTTACTGGAGGTAAATTATTTATTATTTGTTTCGGTTTTTTATCTTTTATTTCTTCTATACAATATTGAGTAGAAATATTTTCGACTGGAATTGGACTAAATTGAGTTGATGCATTTGTATGTTTTATTTTCATATCATTAATTGTTCGAGTTCGAAAATTTGGTGAAATATCTTCGATTGAAGTTGGACTAAATTGAGTAGATGTATTGACATGCATATGATCATCATATATATTTATTCTTGATTTTGGTTGATATAAAAAATTTCTATCACTATTATCTTCTATTGGTATAGGACTAAATTGTGTTGAAATATCGTTTAAATTATTTTTCTTATTTTCTATTGTTTGAGTTGAAACATCAATACTATTATGATCATAATATTTGTCATCTAGGTTTTTCAATTTTAATTCTGTTAAATTTTTGTCTAGCATTGGACTATATTGTGTAGAAACATGACGATGAAATCGTCTTAGATTTAAAATTGGACTTGATTGTGTTGATACATTAGTTGTTGGTTTAATATGTGTAAAAGTTCTTAGAGGTTTTTCTATAGATGATTGAGTTCCTGCATCTTGATAACGTGGTCTATTCAATTTGCGTATATCATGAAAAATTTTTTCAAGTTGTGATGTGCTACCAGCAAAACGTCCTACATATGGTAATGAATGATCATAATAAATACATGTTGGAAGATGATGATTTGCATAACAAGTACAATGATGATGTTTTGCTGATGAAAGTATATCAAAAATAATTGATTGTAAATGATTTGTTTTATATGGTCTTGATGGTGATAAAATTTCTGGAATAATAGATTCAAGATTATTTGTTGAACCATCATTAGCTTGATCACGTTCAGCAAGTGAATATAATTGTTCTAAACGTGCTAATTCTTCAGCATGAATATTTGAGTCACCTGAAATAGCATTACGTCGATTTCTTGGTCGTTGTAAAAAAAGATTATTAACTAATGCAAATGTATTCCATAATGTTCCAATAACAAATTTTGATGTATTTTCATTACGAAATGTTGTTGATACATATGTATCATTATCATGATTTAATCTTGGTGTACCTGTTAAACGCATTAATGTTCCAAGACTTGAATCGAATAATGGTGAACGTTGTTGAATTATTGGTTTTAATGTTTGACTATTATTAATAGATGATTGTCGATGAGATTTTTGTGGTGACATTGAAGCAGATCGTTGAAAATGACGTCGAGGATTATGAGAGAAACTTGTTGATCGTGAAGTTGGATTATTACTTTGTGAAATTAAATCATCAATAGTTGTACCTCGACGTTCCATTGATATTGAACGTGTTCGAGATAAAACAGGATAAACATGAAATTCTTGTTGATGATTAGTAATTATTTCTTCGAGATAATTATCAATATCATCCTCATTACTCTCATAACCAGAATCATTTCTTTCGCGATAAGAACAATGACTGATTTTTGCTGCTGATCGAACTGATTTTACCAATCTAAGATATAAAACATAAGACATTCAGTTCGAATCAGCAGCAATTCAGTTTTTAATTTAAAAACAAAAAAAAAGATTAATAATGAAAAGTAAACTTACGCTGGCGTTACTTCATATTCAGGACCTATCATTGTTTTCATTAATGGTAAGGTAACTTTTTTTGGTGCATTTAAATTGAATGGTATAAATGGAATGATTGCCATTAAAAGAGATCCAACTAAACAAATTAATCAAAAAAAATTTAAAATAAGAAAAATTCTTTTTTGTTATTTACTAATAACAGTTATCCATAATGGTAAATATGGAATTATTTTATCAAACCAATAATATTTATCAGCAGCTTCAACAAATGTACAATTAGGACAAAAGTCTGGTGTTGATTTAAAATATTCATCAAGATAAATTGCTTGTTGATAACCAGAACACATTTCACGAGCAAATGAATCCGCTAAAAAATATTTATTTTTTGTATAAAGAAATGCTCAATGATTTAAAAAAAAAGCAACGGGCTTGCTAATAAACATTTATATTTGTAATAGAATATTAGAATCAATAACATATGAAGTATGAATTTCTTTAAGTATTTATCGAAAGATGTTACAATGCGAATCATTAAACTATACTCAAATTATTAGTGCATGAATAGTACGCAAAAAAAATCAGTAGTAGTTTATCAACAATGATAACTTTTTTTTTTACTGTAGATATTAGATATAGACAAAATGGTCCTAGTTTCGAGATCAATTTTTTGGACTGCAAAGCACAACTAGAAGCAATAATTTTTCGATTAAACACAGTTAAGACTATGAATAAAATCGAAATCGTATAGACATTACTAGAATATCCTTTTGTATTCAGTACAACTTATTTTCTATTTAAAAAGCCTATCTCTATACGTCAAGACTACTTTTCGATCGTGTTTATGAAAAGCTCACATTCCTAAGTATATATATTGAAGAACTTTTTCTTTAAATCATAATCTTACTAATTAATGATTGTTTAATGCAAAACATTTCGAAAGCATGATTCAATGTTGTAAAATTATCATTAGATATTTCGACAGCAACTGACATTAATTGTGCTCGATTATATTTATATGGACCAAGTATTCTAGTTTCTGATAAAACAATATTTTCAATTAATAATAAACTATTATTAATAAAATCTTGAAGATTTCGTGGAAAATTTTCATCATAAACAGCATCAATATTTTTATAATCATTTAAATAATCAAATACAAAATATTGACGTTTATCTTTTGAAATACATGTAAAAAAACTAAAAAAAAAAAAACAAAAATCTTTATCTTTATCTTTTTTTTTCTTCATTTTTAACAATAATTTAAAAATAAAACATACTTAGTTAGATTATTATAAATTGGAATGCATATATCTGTTGATGGACAAGAAGATTTATTTACTTGACATATATCAATCGGTATTTCACAATAAATACCAGAATAATTTGGTAAACATTGACATGAAAAATTTCCTTCAGGAGATAATTGATGACACATACTATTATGTTTACATGGACTATATGCACATGAATCCACACCTCGACAATCTATACCTGTATAACCACCTGTACATAAACAATATGAAACACTAAAAAATATTTAAAACAATTAAAAAAAAAAAATATATATATATATATATTTACGATTCAGTAAGATGAATACATGTACCATTACCACAATCTTTATTTAAACATATATCTATACTTGTTGGATAAGTAATTCTTAAAGGAAATGTTGTTAATAATATAGTTCCATTTGTTTCATTAATTAATGCAACTTTAAATTGTAATTGTGTTCGATTATTAATCAATGGAAATGTATTAATTGGTCTTTGAAGTATTAGACTATGTCTATCTGAACTTAATTCAAGACCATTATCATATGTATCAATTAATTCTAATCGATAAGGTATTGTTATATTTTTTACAGTAAAATTTCCAATAATTGTATTTGGATTTGTATTATTTGATATTGATGATTGACTAAATGTAATCGTTGGTATTGATGAATTGATAATAATTGGTACACTAAATGTTTTTTGAACAAGACGTGTTGGTTTATCTTGTGTTGTTTCAACTGCTTGAATTGTTAAATTAATAATAGGATTATCAAATTGTAATATACTAGATGGATATTCACCAATTTGAATAAGACTACGATTTGGTAAAAGCTAAAAAATATACAGTAAAATCTCTCATCATATACATTTCACTGTCTGATAAAATTATTTTTGCTTGCAGTAAATGAATTCACTATAGTAGACATCCTCATGTAGTTCTATGGTGAATACTTTTAAAAACTCATAATGATCTCTGCGATAGGGTACTTCTACTATAGTTTAACAAATCTTAATTTTTGTATTCGCCAATACCTTTTATATACTAAGAAAAATGCATCTGTTTCTTCTGAAAACAAAACTGCTTTTAGACAAACAACTTAACTTTTGCATAGTAGACATCTTTGAAAAGTCTATAGAGTATCCACTATGAAGAGGTCATATTGTATGTAGTTATGTTTTCCGTCAAAAAGAAAAAGAAACAAGTTCTTTTTAGTTATGAATATATTTACTTGAAATATATCTTGATTATTTACTAATGAAAAATTATATGTTCGATTTGTTGGTGTTGTTGTTAATTCAATAAGATTAAATGTGCCCAATATACTATCATTATTGATGTTGTTTGTTGCATAAAATGTTTTTGTTTGATTAAAGTTTATCTGTATTGTGGGTGGAGCCGGTAAAACATCGATAACAATGTCCTAATCCCCATAAATTATATCACTTTGTTTTATTTAATAAAACAAAAGTAACTTACTTGATCTACATTTGTATCATTTGTTATGTGACATTTTACATTAACGATAATAGTTGGATGAATTGTTGAATTTAATATATAATTATCTGGTAAAAAGATAATAAATGCTAATTGATTTGTATTTGTTGTATTCACTATAAATGAATAACCTTGTTCATCTGTAGCAGTACATGTTGGTAAATTCGATAAGGAATTATTCAATAATGAAGAACGTAAAAGACTACGAATAATTGGAGTATTTGGTGGTGTTGTTTCATAAATACGAATATGTAATGCTTGAAGTAAAGATGTATTCTAGAAAAATTAAGAATAAGGTCTAGTTTTACAATTTTTTATTTTTATTTATAATTCTTTTGAATATTGAAACAGTATCATTATTATTAATCAAATCATTCGACTAATTTCTCGAAAGATATATATATAAATGTGCCTCTAATCTTTTCTTAACTTTCATTATTGATATACAATCCTGAACAAAAATAGCTACTCTCCATGAAGTGCTGCTTTTCATCAGTTCATATGTACTAGAATTATACGTATGTTCATACATCTGCATTGCTTTGTGAATAGAGACTGTTAAGGCCCAGAATTTTCGGAGTAGGACTCGACATGCTCTACTTGTGACAAAGGTGTTCAGTGAAAATATGTACTCAAAAAGTTTTTGTTTATCACAGTCCTATTTTACAAGCTACTACTATTTTTTTTCTAAAACTAAGGGCAGTTCCATATGCCTACGTTATCATAATCAAGATTTTACTGATTAGCGCACTCCTAAAAAATGAATCCATGTCATAAAGCTAACTCAACTTCATTTAGTATTGTGTCTCTAAAACTAACAGAAGAGATTCGTTGTCTCATGGGAACTTTCTACAAGAGAAAACTTTTTAAATGAATGGGTCAAAGTCATCATGAAAAAGATAAATGTTACGGAAAATCAGCACTTGCTCTTCAATAGACATTCTTAATACGAAGAAAATATTTCAGTTATTTCAAAGTGATTATTAGCGAAAATCTATTCAGGGATAGCTACAACGTTAAGATTTTGAATGAAGAGTTCGACGAATATATTTGTGTCAATATGATTGAGATAAAGTGATCACAAGAGGAAGATAATGTCTGAATTATGACTCTAGTACATATTAATCAGTAGAGAGCCAGTTGGCCCTTGCAATCAGGATTTCTTATCAAAGGCATGCATCCACAATATCATAAAGAATAGTAGCAGTACTATTTATGCTACTCCCTATTCCATGTTATCTATATATTATGTTGCTGAATCAATACCAATTCCCAAATGATTTTAAGTATAATGAAAAAACAATATGTTGTATGATATATGCTAACCAATGTTCACGAATACATAGAGATCTTAAGTTTTTTGCAGTATTTTCTAATGAAAGTTTATCTCTCTTTCTTTAGAATAATCAAAATCTCTGATGATAGCAGATCTATCAAACGTACAATAATAAAACTAGACGAACAGTTTGAAAAAAAAGCTTTTTGCTTTGCTTAACGTACCCCTATTGTTATTGGTTGCATCGTTGATCCGCTAGTTGAATTACTTGTTGGTCTTGATATATAATATACACTGAATTCATGTGTCAGTGAATATCCACCGGCATCTGTTATATTTGCTGTTACATTAACAAAGTAATTAATTTTCTCTTGTCCATGTGGTGGATTTAAATCTACAATACTAACATTATAAATTTGTCCCTTAAAAATAAAAACATCAATTTGTAATAATAGAATATATGATGAATTTTCTAACCATTAATTCTAACCCATCATCTGTTATAATTGAATATGAATTTTTAGCTGGTGATAATGCTTGATAATTTGGTTTATCAAATGTAATAGTAAAATTTTCATTTACATCTGGATCAATAATACGTATTTGACCGACAACTAATGATGTTGAATTTTGTGAAATATAAACAGTCATCAATTTGGATGTTGCATTAATCGGTGGTCGATTTACTGCAGTTACATTTATAACAAATACATGTTCTATCTAAAAATAAAAACAAAATTTAATTTATTAAAAAAAACAAAAAAAAATTAACATACAAATGTTGGTGGTTGTCCATTGTCAGTTGCTCGAATAATAATTGGAATAAATCGTCGTTTATCATAACTTAATTTTTTTTGTAATATTAAACGATTATCAACTATAGTAAATATTGAATTTGTTGTTGTATATGTTAATGTTTGATTAAAATCAACATCCGTTGCATTTATAATACCAATTGTTGAACCAATTGTTGTATTTTCTGGAACTACTTGACCTATGAATACGAGCAATTAATAAAGAGAAAAATATTTCGTCAGATTAATTTTTATGAAAAACATACTAGATAAAGTTAAATTATATGGTGTTTCATTTTCATCTTCAATTTCAATAGGAAACGTAACATAACGAAGAGTTTCATTAGTTAATTCATACTGAACTGCAACAGTTATATTAATTATGGGTTCGATTTCATGATTTAATGGACATGTTTGATTTAAATGACAATGTTCAATATATTTCTTAGCTGTCTAAAAAAAAAAAAAAGAATAAATGAATTCTAAAACATAAAACTAAAAAAAATTCCAATGATAAATTTTACTAATAGATTTTTTTCATTCAATTTAAATCGTCCATTGGCATTATCTATAAGAATAATAGTATAACTAGATATATCATTTTCGAGAATGAAATTTCCAATTGATGTATTCTCATGAGAATTTTCCATAATCTAAATAATACAAAAAACAAAAAAAAATTGAAAGAAAAAAAAATACTTTTCATTTTTAACCTTATTATTTGATAATGTAATATTAAAATCATTTTTATCTTCGACATAAACAGTTAAATATTTTTCTACGATTCGACTATCTTCATCAGTTGTTGTTACTAATACACTAACATTAAATATTAATGATAGATTTGATGAAGAAAAATTGACATCATCACGAACCTATAATATCAAAAAATATGATTCTATTAGAATCAAATGAATGAAGGACACAGGTATATAGGAGCCATTTTCGAGTTCTCTTTAGTTTGCCTTTTACTAAGACTCGCTTGATGCAAAACTTCAAGACAAATCGTTTGGTAACAGAATAAAACTTTTTCTTAAGCATTCGGAACCTTTTTTACTCAAAATATTGACATACATTTTTGCACCATAAATTGATGATTTAAAGATAGAAAAGTGAGGCATGTAACCTTTTCTGCATAGCAAGGCACTGAGCTTTTGATTAATTCTAACAGCTCCAACAAAGAACTACTAAATTATAGCTTTCTGTACTATTATTTAGGAAAATTTGAATTTCATTTCGACACCATTTGCTTGTATTTTTGGCTCGTATTCAACGGAATTTCAAACAGAAAAAATACAATTTGAATGAAAAATCAATAACTTTTTTAGAAGTACGATGAATATTTGAGTCGACTGGTATTTGTTTCGAAGTTTTGCATTGAACTTTTTTATTTTCGAAAAACTTACCTCGAATATTCTTTTAGGATTCAATTAAAAAATCAGCTCAACTAGAATATCATTTTCAACAGTGAAAAAACATATTTTAAGCTTTTAACACATTATTAAAAGACAAAAGGAAAAATAATTAAAACGATGTATTGATTACAAACAATTTTTGACTGAGTCCTGAGAAAATATCTCACGTAAATCATTCGAAAATATAAAAAAAAAAAACAAAGTTCAATGCAAAACTTCGAAACAAGTACTATTCGATTTTTTATGGTGAGTCCAAATATATATTATTTGTATAAACTCTTTGATTGAAATCTATGAATACTAGTACAAAATACAAAATTATAGTGCTTTCTTCGAGTTGTCAAAATCGATTAAACGTTCATCATGTTGTTTTTCTCTTTCTCAAGATATTTAGAAAATAGTGAATGGATGAGATAATATAGGCAGATAATTTTTATGTTCGTTTGGAACAATATTTACATAAGTACTCAGCAACACTTGAATCATTTGATCTAATGATAGGTTGAAAAATGCGTAATCCATTGTCATAGGTTTTAATGCAAAGTATATTGTTATGCGAGAAATGTTACATGCCTCACTCTTCCCTATCTATGAACCATCGATTTATGATGCTAAAGTCTATGTCAATATTTTGAGCAAAAAAAATATGTCTTCATGTTCTTGAAATTTTACATCAAGCAAATTATAAAATGAAGGAAAACTGAAATATGTCTTTGTTATTTACCAAAAAGAAAATACTAACTTTAAGAATAGTTGAATTAACAATCTCAAATGGATAAGATAAAGAGCTATTTTCATTAAGTCTAACATTTGCTACAGGTTCTCCAGCAGCTGCTACATCAATTGCATCAATTGAACCAATCGTAAGAGAAGTTGCATTGTATTTCGGTATGTAGATATATTCTTTTTGTCGACCATTGATTGTTAAAGTCTAAAATAATAATTAAATAAATCTGTAATATTTCAATAAATTGATTATTTTTATATACAATATTTTCAAATTGAATTCGTAATGGATTTGAAAATGTCATTGTTTTATTATTACTTGTTAATGTTAATAAAGTAATAACTAAATGTCTATCATGATCATTATCATCATAAAATGAACGTGGATTAGCAACAGTAACAATTGATGTACATAATAATCGAAATGGAATTTCTGTTAAAAATGTACATGTTGGCTTTGAAAAACCTAATTCAGTTAGAAGTGTACCATCATATCCTTGTAAATATATATCTCTATCATGATCTTCTATTATAAAAAGAACTCGTCCAAGTGATGATTGAAAATATGTATTTTGTGGTAAATAATTAGTTTGCATTGGATTTATTCCATTTATTAAATTAGTAATTATATCATCCGACATAATATTATCAATATTTGAAACAAATATGTATGTATTCGGCGGTTCATCAACATCAAGTATTTCCATGAGAAAATCACTTGTAATCTATAAAAAAAATCAATTTATTGTTTTTCAATATGCTTATGCATTATTTTCTAAGAAATTCTGATAGACTACTCACGTTTTTCGGTGGTATTCCATTATCTGTTGCTTGTACAGTAATAAGAATAAATTGTTCTTGTTCAAAATCAGGTGATCGTATTAAACGTAAATCATTATCTTCAATAGTAAAACAAAATCCTTTTGATGAAAATGAATTTTCATTAACAAGTGTATATGTATGTGTTTGATATAAATCTTGATCTTCCACTGAAAATGATCCAACTAATGTTCCAATAGGTGAATTTTCCATAACAGTATTTTTATCTAATTGTAAATTAAGTGGTGGATCATTTTCATCAGTTATTACAATTTGCATCCAAAATTTCTGTGATGTTCGTGGTACACCATTATCTTCAACAAGTATACGAATAAGTAATGAAGTTATTTGTTCATAATCATGTGGACATAAATCTGGTTGAGATATACACATTTCAACGGAATTTTCACGTTTTAACTGAGAAGAAAAATAAACAACTCATGAGAACAACATTAGAATAACTTACAATTAATGTATCATTTTCTAATGCAAATGTATGACTTAGATCAGTAACAATCGTATATTGAAAAGTTTGATTCACTGAATATATATCTGGATCAGTTGTACGTAATTGACCAATAACATATCCTGTTGGTGAATTTTCTGGAAGCTAAAAAAAAATGAAATTTTTCTTTTTTATAGAATGAAAAAAAAAAAGAATATTTCTACATACTGTATTAGATATTAATGTTAATGCAACCGGTGCTTCATTAATATCGCTAATGGTAATAGTAAAATTTTTACTAATAGTAAAATGATGAATTAAATCAGAACATGATACTGTTATATCATAAACTGGTATTGTTTCAAAATCCAGATCATAATCTTACAAAATAAAACACAATGAGTTTTTTTTCTCTACGAAAAAGATATTTTCTTAGCATTTACTTTTATTATTCATAGTCGATTTAGTTCGTAATATTCCATTAATAATTTCAAATGGTTGATGATGTGAAGGAGTATTAAGTGTATACATAGAACATGTATAATTATCATTATCTTCATCAACCACAAAAACATGGGCTATTTCAATATTTCGTGAATTTTCTGGTATACTTAAATTAGATATATTAAAATAAATATCCTATTAGAAAAGACAAAGACAAGATATTTGTTATTCATTATTATCTTCATTGCTTTTCTTTACTTGAGGTGGTAAATTTGCCTGTCGACGTTGTCGTTGTTGTTCTGTTTTATCTCCGTCATTAGAATATAATATGACAATATTCTAAACAATATTTATTAATAAAATTAACTGAAATAACTCATGTTAGTTTTATCATTCTGTCATGATCTAAGCAAGAAGATCTTAATCATATTCACATTCCAGACGATGAAAAGAAATAAGTAAAGGTTAAAAATGAAACAAAAAAGACAAAGAATTTTCCTAACTCATTTACCATAAATGTCTAATAAATACACTTACATCTTGTATCTGTTTGTCTATCGTATTACTACTATCGTCGACTGGCATAATCAACAAAAAAATTGGAACAAACATTAGTGTCCTATCATCAGGTAGAACTTTTATATATGTCGATACCTTAGAAGAAAAAAACAATAGATTACATGAAAGAATACTAATTTACCGATAAAGATGGTTGACCATTATCAGTACAAGTTATTTCATATAGTGTTTCATTATCAAGACTATTAATAGTTTTCATTTCAAATTTTAATGTTTGATTGAAATCATCATCGAAAACTGTACATATACCTGTTTGATCTAAATAAATCGAATAAAAAAGAAAACTTTTTCTTGTCTAGTTTTTGCAATAAGTTTCTAAATTCTTACTAGAACATTGAAAATTGTAAGGTGGTTCATTAATATCTTTAATATTAATAAAAAAAAATTTTTCAATCGATTCTGATTGATTTGAAAATTGAATACAAATTTTATATTGATTTTGTTCTTCATAATTCAAGTCAGATTGATCAGTAGTCTTTAAATTAAGAAAAAAAAAAAAAAGCAAAGGAAAATCTTTTCTTTTTCTTTTCTAATCATAAGAAAAAAAAAAAAAAAATGAGGAAAAATTTTCTCATGAAAAGAAAGGAACGTGTAGTGACGATAGATAAGTATTTTGCCTTGTTCTTTTCTTGTCTATCAATCCTGTCAACTACTATTGCTTATTTTGATGATAGATTGACTTTAACTATGAGTAGTGTTATCTCTTGTTGAGTTACACATTATTGTGTCATCGTACTTTTCTCTTTAGTCTTCAATGAAATGTAAGCATACATATCATAAATCAAGTCTATCATTCAATAATGATAATATTTTCTTTTCATTTCTAACGACTAACAAATCACAATTTATTTCAAGTATGTTAATTAATAAAATTTTATTTAAGTTTTAATTAAAACAAAAACAAAAAAAAAGAAGAAATAGGCTATTAAGTACTCTTTAAACATAAAAATACGCGTAAAATTTAATGACATCTAAGTCTTATTTCGTTTTTGTGTGTTTTTTTTTCTCTTTCGAATAAATGTTGCTATTTGAAAGTCAATTCTCTGTCTTTCGAAGATTAGATGATGAGAAAGAACGATAAGAAGAGTCAATTCAATCATCTTTTGCCTTTTTTGAAAGATTACTCCCAACGACAACAAAACAAAAAAAAATGAACTTGCTACATGTCTAGTCCTATGTTCTTTTGAAAATAACAAAGAAGAAATGCATTAGAGAATCATACTAGTGGGTATCTAGTATGTTTAAAGATCAGCTGCATTGTCATTCTTCATCTTTATAATTTAATTGTGTAGATGTGAGCGTTGAAGACTCGTTTCAAAAATTAGTCTACTTATTTTATGTATTTATCTTTACATCCGCTTACTACTTTATTTTTGTTTTATATCTAGAGATTTTTTTTCACAAATAGTTATACAATTTTGGTAGATTTTTGCTTTGTCTATTATTATTATTTATTTTGGGTGTGAATAATTTTGTTATTCTTTATTCAGGTCATATGATAAATTTAAATGACATAATTTTATCTTTATACTATCCATGTCATATTGATAAATAACTCGTATTCTCAATAAATATAATTATATGGCCTTATAAGTCGTTTTTATGATTAGTTTTTTCTTGTTATATATCGATACAATATTGAATTCTTTTTAATTGAAAATGGTATCCGAATTATTTGATATTTCTACAACTGATCCAACCATAGTTACAAATGGCTCAAAAAATATGTATCATGTAAAAAAAACTGTTGTCTGGGCAATATTATCTGTAATTTTTGCAATATTCATTGCTCTATTGGTATTAACAATTTATTTTGGTGTTCATCAAAAGCGAACAACTACTGAGCCAACATCTACTATACCAACAACAAGTCATCCTATTGAAAGAACAACAAGTAATCCTATTAAAACAACAACAACAAGTCATCTAATTGAAACAACAACATCAGCACCACCCGTTGCACGAGTACCAACAAATTTACAACAAGAAGCATATCGATTAACAATCGCCCCAAATTTAACATCAGAAATATACAATGGTTCGTTACAGATTTCTTTTACATAAACGAAAAAAAAAATGTTTTTTTTTCTAAGGTACTCTTTTTTATACATTTACTTGTATTGAAACAACAAATGAAGTTGTACTTCATCAAAAAGATTTATCATTAAATAATTCAACAATACAAATAATTAGTTCATCATTAACAACATCTCCTTTACCAATATTAGATTCTTGGTCATATGATGATTATAGTGAATTAATTCGATTAAAATTTTCATCATCATTCATTCCAACTCAAACTTATACATTATATTTAACTTTTTCAGCAAATATATCACATGAATTACATGGTCTTTATATAAGTCGATATATTGATATAAATGGAATGAATAAAACATTTATGACATCACAAATGGAACCTACACATGCTCGAACTGTTTTTCCATGTATTGATGAACCAGCTAGAAAAGCTATATTTTATATAAGTGTTATACATGATGTTTCTGAACGTGTATGGTCCAATGGAGAAATTCAACGAACAGAAATTTTAGGTGATGGAAGAATTACAACACATTTTACACCAACATTAAAAATGTCAACATTTTTATTAGCATTAATTGTTGCATCAAAATCTGATTTTGGTTGTCGACCTGATAGAATTGTTCAATCAACAAATATATCATCAAGAATATGTGGACGTATTGATATTTTACCACAATTAGCTTATGCTGATGAAATAGCTTCGAAATCATTAGAATTTTTTAATCAATATTTTGATATTTTGTATCCATTACCAAAAATAGAACATTTTGCTGTACCAGATTTTGGTGCTGGAGCTATGGAAAATTATGGTAGAACAAAAAAAAAAATATTTTGTTTTTTCCTTGTTAAGTTCAACATTGTCTGATATTCATTTGATTTTAATTTTAGGATTAGCCATTTATCGAGAAGTTGGCTTATTTTTTGATGAAAAAACTGTATCAGCATCACGTAAACAATATATAACGACAGTCGTTACACATGAAATTGCACATCAATGGTTTGGCAATCTTGTTTCACCAGCCTGGTGGGGAGAATTGTAAGTATTTTTTTCTTTCTTTTCAAGAAAAAAAACGCCATATAAATTTATTTAATTTATTATAGATGGTTAAAAGAAGGATTTGCGAGTTATATGGAAACAATAGCATCCGATTATCTTGAACCAGCATGGATGCAAGATGAAAGAATTGTTGTCGAAAAAATTTTTCCATTTATGGATGCAGATTCTTTGCCAACATCACGTCCAATAAGTATTGAATCAACAAATCCAGCTGATATATTTCAATTATTTGATTCAATAACATATGATAAAGGTGCAACATTAATACGAATGATGTCAATGTTTTTAGGTGCAGATGTCTTTCAAAAAGGTATACAAAATTATCTTAAAGCATTAAGTTATAGTTCAGCAACACAAGAAGATTTATGGAGATATTTAAGTGATGCTGCAGAAAATAAAATTAATGTAGAAAAAATTATGGCAGGATGGACAAAACAAGCTGGTTATCCTATTGTTGAAATTAATCGAGAATATGTAACATCAAATGAACGACAACGACAATTTAATATTGGAAGTTATATGATTATTAATCAAAAACCTTTTAGTCTTTTTTCAACAACAATTAAACAAGAAAAATGGTGGATTCCATTCAAATATTTTGATCGAACATCAAACAAAGTACGAAATATTCATAATAGACATGAATGAAGCCATGATAGTTATTCATGTGATAGTACTAGTATAAGGTCAAGTTGTGTAGAAATTTAGTAAACTGACATTTCGAGTACATTACTCCGTCTTTAGATAATATTATTGATTATAATCTATGCGAATCATGTATTGTGTCTCATTATGACAAAGTTTATCTATGTATTAGTGATAAAGGGCAAATGGTTTTGATCGCCATTGGTATAATCGAATCAAAGTTTTAACAAAAATAAAGTTAATCAGTATCTGGTATTTAATTAAATTTTTTTTTTATTTTTGTAAAACACACTCTAAAAGGTGTCTTGAATCATACGAGAAGAAATTTCGATACCCTATAGACCATGACACACTTTGTTGATATACGATCACTGTCTCATTATAATCACTTAGGATATATAAGCGTTTGAACAAAGTTCGGAGCTTGTTGTATTCGAATAGAAAATACTGGGAACCTATTTTTTTCACTCATAAATAGATCGAACTATGTACTTTTAAAATGTATATTCAAAATAAAATTTACAAAATAATTTAAGACATTAAATTTTAATGTTTTTCAAAAGCATTAAAATAAGAGTTTGTTACGAAGGTAAAATAAGGAATTCTTTCATATATTGGCTATGCATATATTTTGATGCTTTCAAATGGACTATAAATTTTAAGTAGTTATTTAGGTGTGATCAGAAGCAAGCTTAAGGTAAATGAATGCACGCTTTCTAGGTAATTGAAGTCTCTAATGATGTCCAAAGTGATCTCATGCTGTATATTTTGGACATTTTTAAAAGTTTATATTTCTATAAATGTTCAAAACTTTCATCAAAATCGAGGTATCTACTGGCTTTATTTGTAGGACTGATTGCTGGCCACCCTGGAATATGCAGAAAAATAGACAATCTCGATTCTGCAGTGTTTTTTTTCCAAGTTCGAACTCACTATATTTTTTTTATATCAATATAATTCAAGTTAAAATTCTAAATAGGCATTTCAAAGTACAAATTTTGGTCGATCTCTAAGTGAAAAAGTTAAACTTCAGCATTTTTCGTATGAACACAACGGGTCTTGATATTTACGCAACTCCTTAAACATCATAGGTTATATTAGCTAGGATGATAGGAAAAAGTTTAACACCAACTTATTTTTTATTGTTTTCTATAATATTAAGCATCTAGCTCAAATGCAAGATAATGAAAAGTATTACAAAAATCGTAAAAAAACATGAAATTTATCATAAGGATCAACTAAAAATCGTACTTCTTCGGTTTTTGGGATACGTTTTACTTTTCAAGAAAAATTTGCAGAAATAACGATAACTGCTCATTTTATTCTCTTTAAAATGACATTGTCAAAAATTATCTTCGAGAATCTGAAAACTGCCGTGTCCGATTTTTTTTTATAAACCTTGATATCATCATTTATATATGAAATCTCAACAGAGACTGCATAAATACAAAATTGCACCAGCTATTAAAAAATTACTATTTGGATTTGAGCCAATTGCTTAAAATTATTAAAAAACAAAAGTCAAAAATACGTTGTTGTTAAGCTTTTTTTTTCTACCCCTCAACTCATTGCATTTGTAAAGGATTAAGTAGCAATACAGTGAAGAAATGTATCCTAAAATAAATAGAATAAAACAATCTCTTAATGATAATCAATAGTATCCACGTCATATTTGACATATTAGTCTTGCAAAAGCTTACATTAACAGCTTATCTTAGTTTATTTAATCTTTTTGGTTTTTGCTAAACGCAATATTACTATATTAATCTATATGATAGTTTTTCAAAAATTATTTTTAATCTACAAACTTATGATTTCGAATATTAAACTTTGACTTCTTTTATTACTTTTTTCGTTTCAAATAGAAATTAAATAAAAATCCTGTCATTTGGCTTAATGATACATCAATACGTTTACCAATATCTACATCAGATTCTGATTGGATTTTATCCAATCCAGATTATCTCGGTATATATCGTACAAAATATGATACACGAAATTTTCGTTTAATAATAAATCAATTATTATCTGATCATACTCGTATACCAATAATAACACGTGGTGCTTTAATTGATGATATATTTGCATTATCTCGTACATCACTTGTAAATACAAGTGATGCATATGAATTAATACGTTATTTAAAAGATGAAACTGAATTTGTTCCATGGACAGCAGCATTTTCAGCTATGAGACTTCAAGAAGATTTATTAACTGGTCAAGAAATTCTTCTTGATGTTCAACAATATTTTCTTGAACTTGTTTTACCATTATATCATAAAATAGGTTGGGAAGCAATAGATCAATCAAAAGAATGGTTACGTGCATTACTTCAACCAAGTATTTTATCAGCTGCATGTCGTTATGGTAATCGAGAATGTGTTGAAGAAGCACGAAAAGTTTATCGTCGTTGGCTTTCAAATCCAGCATTAAATCAAATACCAGCAACAATTCGTACAACGGTTTATTGTACAATTATACGAGAAGGTTCTCAACCAGAATTTAATTTTTTATGGGATCGTCTTAAACAAGAAAATGTAGCAAGTGAAACACTTAATTTATTAAATGGTCTTGCTTGTACACAAGATCCATCATTAATACTTTGGTTTCTTAATCAACATTTAAAAATAAATCCTATTATACGTGATCAAGATTTAGCTGCATCAATTCAACGTGTTGCTCGTTCATCACATGGTAATCAAATAGCATGGAATTGGATTCGTGATAATTGGGATCAACTTTTTTTAAAATGGGGAAAATCTGGTTCAAGTTTATCAGGTATTATTGAAGCTGTTTCA